TGTTGTTCCAATTTCACTTTGGGTAAATCCTTTCTCCACTCTGGGATTCTATATTTTAATATGTAGGAGACTAGGGTTGAAGAGATGACCAAACATGTGTTGCTGTTATTGTTGTTATTGTTAGGTGCCATTGAGCCATTCTAGGTCATAGCTACCCAATGCACAACAGAACGAAATACTGCCCAGTCCGGCACCATCCTCACAATTGCTGTTACATTTGAGCCCATTGCTGCTGTGTAAATCCATCTCATTATGGGGTCTTCCTATTTATTGTCAACCTTCCAAGCATGATGTCCTTCTCCAGGGGCATGTCTGAAGTATAAGTGACAAAGTCTTTCTATCCTAGCTTCTAAGGAGCATGCTGGCTATTCTTTCAAGATAGATTTGTTTGTTCTTCTGGAAGTCCATGGTACTTTTAACATTCTTCTCCAACACCATAATTGAAATGCATCAGTTCTTCTAGTCTTCATTATTCATTGTCCAACTTTCACATGCATATGAAGCAATTGAAGATACCACGGCTTTGGTCAGGTGCACCTTAATCCTCAAACTGACGTCTACTCAGTAGATTTGTCTAGTGCAATACATCGTTTGATTTCTTGACTGCTGCTTCCACGAATGTTGATTGCGGAGGTTCAAATGGGTTAAAGTGAGCATCTGACTCATTTGATTGGACCAGACAATGAAATGAGTATTGAGTGACCCAGACACTGTTAAATAGAAAAGACCTTGAGCAGAGGTATGAGCAATTGGGCCACATCTGTTGTTGTTAGTGCAGTAGAGTCGATTCCAACTCATAGCGACTCTGTATAGGATTTCCAAGGAGAGCTGGTGAGTTTGAACTACTGACCTTGAGGTTCAAACCAACCTTTTGGTCGAGTGCTTATTCTGCAGTACCACACCAGAACTTCTCAGGCCCTGGCTGTTGTTGTTAAGTGCCATCAAGTTAGTTCTGACGTACAGCGACCCTCTATAGGGTTTCCAAGGAGCAACTGGTGAGTTTGAACCACTGACCTTGCAGCCCAATGCCTTATCCTACGATGCCACACCAGGACTCCTAGGCCATGTCTAGGAAGTAATAGTCTAATTTTAGTAGTTTTTATTTTCTTGTCAACCCTTCAAGGGCAAGGATCTTTGGCAGTTGTTTATACTTGTGCAGTGCAATGTGTTTCTCTTTATATATGGTCTTCCTGGCCTTGAGTTTATAATTCCGCCAAAAAATTATAGACTCGTCTTGCAAGGGATTGGTCGATCACTATGCAAAAAGCGATTTGAAAATCTACCTGATAGTATTGGCTAACTTACAGCCCAGGTAGGGGATTGGTCAGCTTATGTAAGCTTAATAGGATGGCAAAATATAGAGTTTAGCACGGGGAAGTGGGGACCTCACTACCATCAAGAAGAGTCTGGAGCAGGGTATGCCCTTTGGACCCAGGACTCTTGCATTGAGAACCTCTTAGACAGAGAAACTATAACACTGAAAGTGGCAAGAAATGGCAGTAGGCACAGCAGAACCCAGTGGCAGAGAAATGGTGGCAGCAGTATGAATGGTGGGAACCAGATAGACTGACTTGAGGCAATGTAATGGACTTTCTGGTCCATGGAGAGACAGACAGCTGTGGTGAGCTTGCTAACCAGAGAGAGGGGGCAAAGCACCTTCATGCAGGAGGCTTGCTGGCAGAGTCAAAGAGCTATAACACTTGTCCTAGCAAAGCAGAGGAGAAGAGGAGGGTCCATCCAGACTGCAGGCATGGTTGAGGAGGAGTTAAGAATTACCCAGGTTGCAAAGTGATCCTTTCTCTTGAATTATGTCCAGTTACTTTCAAGCTGAACCTGATCCCAAGTAATAGTTTGGCGCAGGTGTGGTGCTGTAGGATAAGTACCCGATGACAAGATTGGTTTGAGCTGCAAGACTGGTGGTTCAAACTCATCAGCCGCTCCTTGGAAACCCTATACAGGGTTGCTATGAGTCAGAACTGACCTGACAGTACTTAACAACTTTGCTAATAAGCCACAGAACTGTATGGTCTGAGAGTTCTTCATAGCCACTACAATAAATCATTCAACCCAACAGAGAGAGAGAGAGAGAGAGAGAGATGGTGGGAATGAGGGAGGGAGAAAGGAAATGTCAGAAATGAAAAATTCAGAATGTAGGTGTGTCTGAAAGGAGCTCTGATGGCACTGTAGGATAAGCATTGGACTGCTAACCACAAGGTCAACTGTTAAAGCCCACCATCTGCTCTTTGGGAGAAAAATGAGGCTTTCTGCTCCCATAAAGATTTGTTGTTGTTGTTAGGTGCCATTGAGTCAGTACTGACTCATAGTGACCTTATGCACAAGCAGAACGAAATACTGCCCGATCCTGGGCCAAGCTCACTATTGCTCCCACGCTTGAGCCCAATGATGCTGACACTTTGCCAATCCATCTCAT